TGCCAATCAGATGACGTCCAGAAGCATTATGAACAGTGTGAAGCTGTCCGATAGTCAAAGCTCATTGGAAAGCGTGCCATGGCCATTGTGATGTTCTGCACTTGATTCAAACTGGCTGCCTGAGGTGAAGAAATGAGGGCTTTGTCCCCATCGTGCCTGGCGTTCCTTCATTTATCTCAAACTGACAGTACAGCCAAGATGCACTGGCTTCCTGTGCTGCCGTTGCATCTCAGTGAATGCCTGTGTCCTCTGCAGGCTGTGCTCCTTTCTCCTGGGTTTGACGAGCTGCTGTGCAAGCTGAGGCACAAGTGGCCAATTGACTGTGTCCCGCACAACGGGGTCATTGGAACGATGCTGGAGATGCGGCAAGCATATGGAAGCCCCGGGAGGGACGGGTGTGTAAATAACGGGCATGCGCTTGTTTGTTCAAGTCAGGCTACTTGGTATCAACACTAGAAGCTGCTGTGTCTCTGTGCCCTTCCTGCAAATTGTTGAATATGTGCCAGCGTCAAGTGTCATTTCTGTCTGGAGCTAATGTTGTCCAACTGGATGCGCAAGGAAGTGTCCTTTTCTGTGCTTTTGGATTCCAGAATATTACATCTCATGGGGTATTTTAGAATGTATATGTGCTTGTTGATTTTGTTGCTGGCCAAATTGCATGGATGTCCATTGCTGAGTTTTTTTGTCTTGTGCTGGTAATCTTCCATGCACACTATTTAATGGGGCCAGAATTGTCCACGTGAAGTCAAGGGCGGTGATGGGCAGAGTCAAGTGCCAAACGCTGTTCAGGGCTCGACTTGGCTTGAGTTTACTCCTCAGCACATTGCTGCTGCTATTGCTGATTCCATTCTCTTCATGAATTTCAACTGCATTTCTTGAGCCCATCTATGTCAGCCCTATGCCCTTTTGCTTTTGCTTGTGCTTTGGATTGTTTCATTCGTGCCACAAGTATAGCAGCATGTGTGACCACATGGGTGAATGTGCAATGTACTGTCTTTGTCACACAATGAATGAAATGGCTGGTGCGATCCACCACAAGGTGCTATGAGTGCCGAATTATATGCGCTGCTTCTTATGCTGGTAAAGTTGGTTGCCTGACCAGCATTCTTGCATCTGATGGCTAGGAGAGACCTGTGATTTTTCTTGTTAGTGGGCTAGCCAAGCACAGAACACTGTGTATGCCTGCTGATTCACGCTTGCTGTGCATCCTGGCTTTGCAGTTGGTTTGTTTACGCAGAGCTGGGGAATTTTGTTCATTCACCTTAGTCAGGGTCCACATAGATTTGTGCGATCCAAGCTTCTTTTTGTCCAAATCCCAACTGTTTCATCTGCTTTTTGTTGTCGGTTGTTATGCTGTCTAATTTTGCCAAGCCATAAGTTCTGTATGTCAATTTTTCAGGGCAACAAATGTGGAAGTTGTGCGGCGCTTGGTTCGCCGCCGTTTTCCATCACTGCGCCGTCCTGGCCACCACGACGTGTTTGAGTTTCTGCATTATCTTTTCGAGGAGCTCCAGAAGGAGGTGCTCACAATCGAGGTGGGCTACAGTTCGATCTGCTCCATCTGTAAAGTTCTTGCAAGCAGATTCGAGAAAGTGGCTGGTGGCAGAAATGCAGATGCAAGAGATACTGGCAAACCCAACTGCTTGCTCTTCAGACTATCTGCAGAAGCAGACTCTCAATGCACAACAACGTTGTGCAGCGAAAGTACCACAGTTCGCTCCTGGACCCTCGTTTCCTCCCAAGAAAAGAGAGGAACAGGAACAAAGCAAAGGGTGCTTTCATAGCAGGATATGCTTATGTGTCCCCGAGATGACATTCTGTCTAACCCCCCGTCCCACCCACCCACCTGCCCACCAAACAGGAAGAAACCGCAAGGAAAAGAAAAGTGGATACCATGGTGCTACAATATCTTGTTGGTGCATGGTCCCGTCTTCATGTTATTTTCCAGGCAGCAACAACAGCGCAGCAAGTCAGGCTGAGGTGCTGCTTGGCAGTTTCTAAAGAAGCTCGTGTGAGAATGCATGTGATTATGTTGCTTATAGGCTCAGCATGTTGAGCAGCAATTTTGAACTCAATGTGGCCTAGAACTGAAGCGTGTTCTGATCTATTTGTGATTCCTTTGTGCTTACCCTGTGTTGCGTTGCTCTGTGTCTTTCAGAGTGCTGAACACGGAAATGGGCAAGTGCCATTCAGTGCCACACAGTGCCCTGCAACCCGGGTGTTCAGCTTTGGCATGACGAAAGAAGTAACATGCACTCAATGTGTTCGCAAGTGGGAGGTGAGGATTGGGTCCCCATCTGGAAAGAGGCAGTGAGCAGCCCCCATGAAGTGCCAAAAGTGAATTTTTGTTCCCAGCTGTGGTGTCTGCTTTTCGTTTTCCATCCACTGTCAATCCTTGCAGATTCTCGTAGCTCTAATCTCAAAGCAACGTTAGCGGCAGTCAGCCCTGCCAGGTGTAGTGTGAGATGATCGATTATTGGCTGGCTGTGTGGGAAGGTGCTTGACCAAATAGTTTACAAGGCCACGGGGCCAGCTGTTGCACTGAGATAACTAGCTGTTGCGTTGGCGTTGAAAGTGGGCAGAAAGTTTATGCAACTTTTGAAGTGGTGTCGAGAAGTTCTTTTGAACGGGATTCCGGGCTGCAAACTTTAATTATGCCATTGGAAAGTGCATGCCATGTGTGCTGGGGCTCTCCACCACCACCACAAACTTCAATTTGCTGCATTTCAGTGGCGCAGGAATCAAAATCCGCCCTATGTTGCAAAATATCACTGATTTATCCCTTATTGACCTTTGGCCGAACATTGCTTGGACGTTATGGTGCCTGTGATCGGCTGCAAGGCCGGAAGAATTGTTCATGTCTTCATTACTTAAGCAATGCCTGGAATTGACATTGCAAAGGACCAGTTGGATGCTGCACCAACTCTGCCCCTTGCTGATTGTTGTGTCTTCTTTGCATAGTACAAAGATCAGCAATGGGCGCTTGAGTTTGCCATGACAAGCCAGGGATCATCAGACCTTGGGAGGGAACTGCACCAGCTGTTTCATGTAGGGCACCTTTCGATTTGAGTGTCTGTTGGACTTTGAGCTGTTTTTCCATTGACATCATCGCTGACTGCTGGAAGGATGCTGGCATTGGTGAAATGTGCTGTGCTTGATCATGTGATTTCAACACACTACTTATTCCAGGGAATCACTGGCTGACAATAGCAGATGCCACTTGTGTTGATTCAAGTGTGGGCTCATCAGTTGCAGAATGCCACACTGCTGTGTTGACTGTGGCTACTGCCAGAGTGCATGGCAAGTTTTGCAAGGGATTGCTGTCAACAGCATTTCTATGTGGGAAACAGTTGGGAACTATCACTCACCCACTACCTGCATCCTCCTCAAGTCTTTTTCGATGTTCTTTGTCTGCCACCACTGCTGCAATTCCAAGTGTCTAAAATATATCGACTTGTGACATCCTCAAATCTGTGTGCAGGCTTCATACATATACAAAGTGGTACTGCAACATGGGATAGTGGGGCAAGATAGTGTACTACAGCTGACCATTGCATTGAGCAGTTGCCTCCAGTAATACTACCACAGGTCAAAGTAAGCAAGAATATCCTAGGATACCTAGGATAGCCCACTCAGCATTTGTGCCACCAGGGAACAACTCAGAAATTGTGTCATCAGAGATCCTTGCTGTTGTGGCACGATGCGACAGGACAGGTGCCAGACCCTTCCTGTAACATCAAGCACTGTCCGATGTAACAGTGAAGGCCATGATGGGGTTCATCTCTCCTGTTTCACAGTGCCAATGTGTATTTAGCACTATTAAGAAATGAAGCAGCACTGGGCCCTTTTTGCAGAACCACGAAAACAATGAAACAACACTTCACTGGCAAAGTGAAGAACTTAAGTTGGGCAGTGCTGGATCTGCAAATTGCAGAGGATCAAGCAACTGAGAAAGGGATGCGCATAGTTTGAAATGCAGCAGTGCTGAATATATAACAGTTATGCCTGACACTGTCCAAATGTGAAACAGCATTGACAAATGTGCCCAATTTTCGTAAGTGTGTGTGCGTGCGTGCGTGCGTGCGTGCGTGTGTGCGTGCGTGCGTGCGTGCGTGCGTGCGTGCGTGCGTGCGTGCGTGCGTGCGTGCGTGCGTGCGTGCGTGCGTGCGTGCGTGCGTGCGTGCGTGCGTGTGTTATGTGCGTTGCTGATGTGTGTTTACTGTGCAATGACAGACCAAGGGTGAACAGATGCACCATTGTGAGGAATGCAACAGCTCACAAAACTGCACTGTGGACCAGAAATTCCATCGGCTGCCCAATGTCCTTGTCGTCCATGCTAACAGGAATCAGGTGTGGCACATCAAGAGGGCCCCTGGTCTGGAGCCCTTGCAGGCATTGCCCTCATGGGACCCTTGTGCATACTGACAGTGTAGAGATTGTCCAACGGAAGAGAAACGGACTGCACAATTGTCCCACCCTTCAAGAGTGCTCTACTGAGTTGAATGGAGATCCTGATGATGAGCTAGATGCACAATACGAGACAAGTCCCGGGTCGCATGTTTGACTCACCAGTTTATCACACAGCCCTGTTTATGGATGGGCCAAGCCAAACCACCAGCCCCCTCTCCAAAACAATACTCTTGAACTGAGACAGTTCTTCATACTGTGGAAGCAGTTGCAGGCAATGTCGATGCGTGCAATCTTCATAGGCCAGAGAGGATTAGTGCGCCATGCTTTTGTTTGTTAATGTTCGGCTATTCACATTTATTTACTCTTGTGTTTAGATGGGCATATAGTGGTAGCATCGCTGTAGCACCCAGTCAACATTCTGACATTTCACAGGCTTGCACACAGTGTGATGTCAATTCGCTGTCCATCAGACAAGCAATGGCAACGATGGTTCAAGGCCTTGAATGCTGTAGAGTTGGTGTTGCTTTCTATGTGAATACCTTGCACTTAACCCGCTGTGGACACAGTGCTCCAAAAAATGCAGCACGGGCATGCGTGTACCCCAAGAATTGAAGATCGAAGATGGAAGGATAGTGGCTGAACCTTCTCAGAGGAGATTCACCTATTCATTCGACAATCGAGACTCCAGCATCGAAAAGGTGAGGACTCTGACCCCAGAATCAGAAACTTGTCCCAGTTTGTGGACATCACGATGCTATCAGTCAAGAGCACGTGCAGCACAGTATGTTACGCCATGCATTTCGTCTCACCATCTACATCTCTGTGTGACCTGCTGTGCTGCGTGCCAATTGGCACCAGTCCTCAAACTGCACCTCTTGTGGCAGTTAATGGGGACACCTTGTGCTGGCAAAGTCTTGCAGGAGCAGTCCCTTTTCAAAGCACGCTATTTGATGCACTTGATTGACGTCTGGTGCATATACCCAGGGGTCCATAAACGTTTGGTCTGAAGCCCCTCGGACTCAGGATGAAGAGGAAAGCATGGTGAAGAGAGCACTCGCGGAGAGCCTGGGCGAGTCCACTGCACAAGATGGTCAGGATGGCACCAATTGGAAGGTATGCCCATCTGCACTGTTAATGTGCTCACATGCATTGTGGTGAGTGAGCCTGAAATGTGCAGTGAGTACATCTTTGTTGTTGGGACTGCAGCTGCAGGTGCATGCACTTGTTTGGGTGTGGCCAGGTCGGGAATGTCTGACAGCAGTTTTAGCACTGTATTTTCTCCGGAACTGCAGTACTAAAGTTGTAGTACTACGAAGAGTTTTAGCAGTTAGCGCACATGTTGAGGGGGTTCACTTTTCTCCAAACGTGGCGGCCGGCATCCGTGATGAGCGTCGATCTCTGTGCGATTGTCATAGGAAGGCCAAGAAAAAGAATATTAAACAGAATAATATTAAAAAAAGAATATCCTTTGCGAGGTGCCACTCAACAGTGAATACTGGGAAGTGAATGTGGGCAACGAGCTTGGTTTGTGCTGTAGTCCACAGCGCCTGGGTCAGCCAGGGAGGAGGAAGCACAGCTGGAGCAGGCTCTGCGAATTAGCGAACAAGAGTTTGAAAAGAGCAGCCAGCATGACTCGCCCCGAGAGGTGGCGTCCCAGTGCGACCTGCCGCCTCTTGAGGTTTTTGAGGGAAAGGTGGGTCAGCGGTTGGGATGGAGGAGCAGCTGGGGTTGTTTATAGCCCCCGTTTGGGGGAAGGATGGTTGGATGCCGTGGTCTGGCTGCGAATGCCAGTCTCACTGTTGCTGTTTTGAGGGGCAGGTTGTTTCGCCACTTCAGCTGTGGCACCTTGGCGACAGCCATCCTTCCACACTAAATAATTTATGGAAAGGTGGAAAATTGCTTCCCTGCAATCGGACAGCTGTCCTATCTACGTCCATCATTCTTTTTCTGAAGGGTTTCTGTCCAGTTTCATTATTTTTTAATGCATGTGCACTTACTAGTTTTGCCTTGTAATTTTCTTTCCACTTTCCGCTCAACCCCCAAGGCTACTGCCGTTGCTCCCCAGCACGGCTGTCTGTGTTGGCATTGGAAAACTTCAAACAGTATCTCATACTTCCATGCATCAATGGTCCAGCAGTCTCCCAACATCCTGTCATTGCTCACCTATCCCTACCCTCTCTGGATGCAAGGAAGGTGTAACCTTCCTACGCAGTTCAACAGTGCCTTAGACAGTTTTCCAAAGGTTCTCCCTGACCACTCCCATTCATGGTTCCCTGAATGCAGGGCTCCCTCAAAGAGGACGATGACAGTGGCAGTGTTGCCAATGGCGAATACAAACTCTGTGCCTACATCACCCACAAAGGTGGCTCAGTGCTGTGTGGGCATTACACAGCGCACGTAACGGGGAGCATGGTACGTCCACACTCAAGACGGTGTACATTTGTTGCCTGCAGCACAATCTGGTGCTGCGGCAGTGTGCAAGTAGACAGTGATTGCAGTTATTGAAAAGATGGCCTGCAATTCCTTGAATGCCAATTTTTGAAAAGCGTGGACCAACAAGAACTTGCCCCTGGCAGGTGAGGGCTGGTGCACAGAGGTCCTGTTGGTGTTTGTTGAATTTCTAAGATCACGCTTCTGCAGAAGAAGATGCCAAATTAGCACACTTCAGGTTCAGGTCGAGATGCCACAAGTGCTGCAGCGCGCAGTGAAGCAGTGCAGTTTCAGATCATTCTAAAACTCCTATTTCAAACAGTGCTGCTGGAATGATATGATGCTTGATGCTAAACCACGACCGTATGAACGAAATGACTTGTGCCGCTATGCAGAAAGCCTTGAGCAACCCTGGACGTTGATCTCTAAATTGACGTTAGCTATTCTGTTCGATGATGATGACCTGTTGTACCAATATTCATATTGTTTTAGGGGTGCTGACGATGCTGCCGTGCCGTGTTTAAAGTGTGGAAACCTGGCCAGCACTCTCTCGAATTGCAATTGCAACTGCAGATGACAACAGTTGGCATAATTCCATGCCCATCAACATTAGGTGAAGGACATCAATTTGCTGCCGTTGTGCCTCAAGCCTATGTCAAGATCCTAGTTGACTGGACACAACTTTTGTGATAATATGCCCCAGCCCATCTGCGACAGAGGCAGCCGAATAGTATCTGCTGCAGGCACACTTTTCAAGTTGGACAATGTTAGCTCGGCTCTGTGAGTGAGATTTGAAGATGCGAACGAATCTAAACTGTCGCTGGCAATTGGTACAGACGTGCCAGCTTCTGGTGCCAGTACTTCATGTAGTCTGACGACCTGCGAAGTCAACGCTTCGAGCATTATTTTGTGTCAGTTACTGTTTCAGAGAAAAGGTATAAAGACTATACAGAGACAGGCAATACAGGCAGTACAGGTAATACAGACAACACAGACAATACAGACAATATAGACAACACAGACAGTACAGACAATATAGACAACACAGACAGTACAGGCAATACAGGCAATACAGGCAGTACAGGCAATACAGACTATCGGACTCTACAGTTTATACAGACTATACTGGTACAGATATCTGTACTGTCTATATCTGTACAGATATCTGCAGGCCACACATGTGCTTTCTAGGCTGCCCATCTATGCCATATTTCAGGCAGCAGCGCGTACATGTGATTCCGTGGAGTCTCAGAGCGTTTACTGTTGATGTGTGCAGGACTATATGTGGTACCTCTGCAACGATTCGGTCGTGAGGCGGGTCACAAAGTGCGAGGCGCAGGATGACGCTGTTGGGGCGTCAGTCTTCTTCTACAAGGCTGTGAAAAGCAAAACCATCACCACTTTCGGCTCCGCATGAGACGAGTGCATAAAGCACCGATTTTGAGAAGATGGTACAAAAATTGAGTACTTCTAGTACAGTGTTGTACCACTTTCTATTGCAAGGATTTTAGCAGCCCCTGGCCCCCAGCCACAGGGCCGTGGCACCCTTGGCAAATTAGCTAGTGACACCCTCTGAAAAACTGGATATAGATGGTGGCGTGCAGCATGGATCGATTGACCTCTGCATGATCTCCGATGGCTGCTGTGCGCCTTGCGGATTCAATCGGTGCAATTGATGGAAACAGTTGCAGCGCTGGCAGTCCAGGTGAAAGGGAGTTTGCATGCTTGCGCCAGCGCTGATTGCCATGAATCCTCAGATGAGTCATTGGATTCGTTTTGTTTGCTGGGGTAGCGGACGCGCCAACCATCATGCATCTGTTGCTTCCCTGCCTGCCGGTATGTTGGACTCAGGCGCCTTTGTGGCAACCAGCGCGGATCGTGACACGGCACTGTGTTTGCAATGTGTGAGCACTTGTTGTGGTGAGGTAGGGCGGGAGTGAGATTGAGCGATGGCATTGGAGTTTTCAAGTTGACGGTTATCAAGAGAGGCGCTCAGGATGGGCTGTGGGCGTCATCAGTGGATGGAGCTCTTGACTGACGGAACGGCATCGCCTGCACGCTTCAGGTTCTGGGAAATTGTAGCTCCCTTTCTAGCATATGGGCTGCGGGGCCAGTGATTGAAGGTTTGCTCGGCAATAAACTTAGCGACCCGTATTCTTTTATCTCTGCGTTTTTTGTGCATGAACGATGACAGATTCTAAACGGCGCTGTTTCAGACCTCGCGTGCGAATGTGCAAATTGACGAGTGCTGACATGTCTGCCTCTGTGTACGGGAGACGTGCTTGCATATTGGCTAATGATGCTGGTCTGCCCGACATGGGCTCTTAAGTGCTACCAATGCATGAACAAGTTGCCGGCTTAAGACAGATTGAAAGCCAAGGGCCACGGGCTCCCGAGCCTGGGTGCTTGCCTCACTATGCGATGCTGGCACCACCCAGAATCAATCGCATTCGATTTGTGCACTCTCCCCAGCTGGCAATGGTGCAACGAAACAAGCTCGTCGGTTGGAAGCAGGCTTACAAACGCTCCAAATGGGCGGCAGGCGCCCGTAGTTTAATGAAGGGGCGTTCAGACCACTGCCCCAAGGAGGCACAGAAATTCGTTGCCAAATTTTCACGTACTCCAAATGGGCGGCAGGCGCCCGTAGTTTAATGAAGGGGCGATCAGGCGACTGCCCTGAGAAGGCACAGAAATTCTTTTCCAGCCCATTCCGTGGCCGCGCGACATTCCGTGAGAACGCGTCTAGATGCAGAGCTGCATGTACATCCGCGTCACGTTCGGGCGCCCATGTCCTGCGCTGTCCCTGCTGCTACATCCTTGGACTCTGCGACACAAATGGGAGCGGGATCAGCATTTTGGTAGATGCATGGATGCTTGTTGACAAAAAGACACACGCACACAAATGGCACATTATCCAACATGTTTTGCTGCTCAACTGGCAGGATAAGCAGCTCCAAATCAAAACCGTGAAAGCAAACATGGAGCTGGTAATTTGAGGGGCAGCCATTCTGGTGTAGCACCCCTGTTGTTCTCTAAAGATATCCAAAAACTGCTTGAAGAATATCTTTATCTATCCAGAAACTGTACATTCTTTAACTATGCAATTGTTGGCTCTTTGGAAAGTCCTGAAACTGCTTCTCTTCCATGAAGCTTTCCTGCTGAACCTCGATTTTCTGGACCTCTCCAAATATCCAACACATCCATGGTGGCATTGTGATCTTTATATCCCATTTTTCGCCGTACGAAATGCAGCACCACACAATTTGCTGCGCAGGCGTGGAGCCCGATTGGAGACTTCAAATTCTCTTGAATTCTTCCGCAGCAGTTTTGCTATAATTCAGGGCCGGCGCATAGGGCATGCGCAAGTGCCCTTGCAGTGCAAAACTCTGGACGATT